ATGCCCGGATTCGACACTTAGTCCAATCAACAACAGAACTTCAGCAACAGAAAAACATATCCTAAGATAAAGAAACAAGAAGAAACATAGGGAACTTAGCTTATATTGCAAACTCATATACAACAGACACTACAACAAAATTGGGTTTATAGGACACCCCTAATCTCTAAGCGTCTCAATAGACCGCTTTATAGGACTTAATTTATAGGACCAAAATATAAAGCGTCCTATCTAAAGGTGTTGTAATAAGTTTATACGACACTTTTGAGCGTCTTAACAAGTTTTTAAGGATATTTTTAATACAAAGTGTCGCATTAGCAACTTTATAGGACACTTTTGAGAAATTGTCCTGTAAACTCAATTTTTTTAGGACNNNGGTCTCACGAAAACAGGCTGGTCTCACATGATCCCAAGTCTATATATATAGGGGTTGGTTCAAATATTAACCAAGATTATTGTGTTAACTTTGTTAACCAATCTTGGCCATTGATTCTTACAATAAAGGGTTGTGATTAATCATGATAAAAAATTAAATTTTTAAATTTACAATTTCAAAGAACATATGTGAACAAAAGGGAAAAGGGTATTTAGGTAATTTTCTTTTTTATGTAACTCCCATATCATTAATTGTGAGTTACAAAATCAAAAAATCTCATTATTTTTATTAATTTATTTTTGTTAATGTAAGAACCAAATGAACACACACACACATACACACACACATATATATATATATGAACCATTGTGTCAAATACGAACAAAAATTGACATATATATGAACTTGGATTGTATAGCATTTATGAACACAATATGAATATAATAAAAATAGTTGCTACACGAAAGTAAATAAATAAATAAAAAAAAGGTATGAACACAATATGAACATTTTGTGAATAATAGTTCCTTCATTATGAACACATTCAGGAGCAAGTCAATGTTGAGATATACAGCTAGTGTACATATAAACACAATATGAACAGTTTGTGAACAATAGTTCCTTCATTATGAACACATTCAGGAGCAAATCAATGTTGAGATATGCAGCTAGTGTACATATGAACACAATATGAACATTTGTGAACAATTCTTTAACAATTACATATGAATTTCGAATTCCGATTGTAGTCGTAGACGATTTTAACCTTTTCATTCTTATTATTGTCGATCTGTTTTCCAATAGCTTTATCCATATTACTCGGACGATATCGAAATCTTTACAATCGAAAATTCTTTAACAATTACAAAATCAATATCATTATGGATAGAATAAATCGAAATTACAAAACATGAACTCGTATAAAAAATATCAATATTACATAATCATTAAAAAAAATTTAGCAACATCAGATTTTATAAAAAAACCACCGAAGGCTAGCAAGAGGCTAGCACTTACGACAAAGTCATCAATTATTGAGATTTTTAGATTTGTAATTCCCAATTAATGATTTGGGAGTTATATAAATGACAAATTACTCAATTACCCTTGTTAATAATATATTAGTTATATGTGAACCTAAAAAAAAGATGGAATATGATTGGTTGAGCTTGGTTAACAAAGTTAACACAAAAATTTTGGTTAATATTTGAAACAAGCTCTCTCTCTCTCTCTCTCTCTCTCTCTATATATATATATATATATATATATAGGGTTGGGTTCACGTGAGACCAAAAGCTTTTCGTGAGACCCGTAAAATCAATTTATGTTCATTGATCAACTTTATAAGCTAATGATCTAATGGTCTAAAGTTGCACGGTGACAATTTTTTGATTATTGAGGTCTCGTGGCAATTTTGTGATTATGAATGTTCAGATTGTAGATCTAATCCAAGAGTTGAGAATTGGTCTTACGGGTCTCACGAAAAACCTCTGTTCTCACATGATCTCAAGTCTCTCTCTCTCTCTCTCTCTCTATATATATATATATATATATATATATAGAGAGAGAGAGAGAGAGAGAGATTGTTTCAAATGCAACCCATCATATTTGTACAACCAATACAACCCAATAAATTGAAATATTTATGAAAATGATGAGAGTTCATTTATTATGATTTAAATATTTATAGAAGATAAATGAAGTTCATTAATTATGATCAATATTTTATATTAGAAAACAATCAAAACTTCTATGAAATTACATATTCAACAAATTAAATGGACGGTTAAGATTAGGTTGTATTGGTTGTATAAATGTAAATAGTTGTATAATAATTCACCTATCTCTCTCTCTCTCTCTATATATATATATAGATGTGTGTTGGAGGGGAGGGGAGGGGAGGGGATATATGAAAATATTATATAGCACTAACCAGTTAATGATTATTAATATCATTATGATGAATATTGTTATAATTTAACACTGCTCAAATTTTCACTATTCATCATAATAACAATAATAATCTTAAACCGGTTAATTCTAAATTATATCATTTTTATATGTAACACCCCAAAAGTTGTAAGAGCGACTAATCTAAAAAAAATTTAACATATCAAATACATAATAAATTCCTTTATAAAAGTCAATATTTGATTAACTATAATGGCAATCGAAGATTTATCATTAACAATTGATACACCAAACCTCACACAAGTACACAACTCTAGGTTATGAATGAGTGTTACTAAAACCCAATAACAGACGATATCTCCAAAATACGGGAAACATGTGGATAGCTAAATCATCCTTGTGCCTTTAACTAGCACTGAACTCTTCATGGTATCAATAGTACCAAACCCCACAAGGAACTTGTGGACATGCCAACAAGAAAAAGTGTTACATCTTACGCCTAGTGAAATCAAACAATTTTCATCTTTAAAATAAAACAATAATACTGAAAAAATGTTATTTAAATCACAATTTTCCAAATAAATGTATTTAATGTAAATCAACATCTTTCCTAAAACTCACCATTTTCATGACAAAAGTTGGTGACCAAAACACTCATTTTTACATAAAATAAATGTCAATACTCATCCAAAACGTGAATAAAGTTTAAAATTCAAATACTGAAACATGGACAAAACTCTATTATTCGAAACATTAATACATGAATAAGGTTCAATATCAAAAACCACAAATTATAGATAATACTCCATACCCTAAAATAGAGATGGCCAAAAACCGGTCCCGGGCCGGTCCCAATCGGTCCTCACCATTCTCATAACCGGTCCCGGTCTCGGTCCCGGTCCCGGTCGAAAATTATAGGACCGGTATAGGTACTTTATAACCGGTTATGGGCCGCCGGTCCCGGTCCCGGTCCCAACCTGTCCCAACCGGTCCTTCATTAAAAAAAATAAGATTTTTTATTTTATTTTTTTAATGATATATATTTTTAATACATTATAAAATTTACAATTGGGTCACTCAAATACACTTTAAAAATGCGTTTTAATATAATTAAAATTACGTTTTCTTATAAAAATACATTTATTTATAAAATTAATTGAATTTTCGGGCCGGGCCATAGTCGGTCCCATAACCGGTCCCAGTCCCGGTCGGTCCCGGTCCCACGAAACTACCAAAAACCTCAACCGGTCCCGGTTTTCGGTCCCATAACCGGTCCTGGTCCCGGGCCGGTCCTTTGTCGGTCCCGGTCCCGGTCCTCCGGCGATCCCGGGCCGGGCCGGGCCCATTTGGCCATCTCTACCCTAAAACGACACTGAAAACATGGATAAACTCAATATCCAAAACAATAGACCCGTTTCCATTAATCGTGACGAAACACGAAGTAATTCATTCATCTAGGTTATCGAATAGTACCTTAAGATCACGGTCTCGATGTCCAACTCCTCTCAGGTTTTCATTGCAATACCTGACTTCCCGGAGTACAACCCACATGAGTTTAGCTTTACACTACCCCCGATCTTAGTGCCTATTTATACATTATAGAGTTACATCTACAAGCCAATGGTCCTAAGGCCCAACTCCACATAAGTTCATTCCCAAAATACCCCGATGACGTAGTGTCAACTCTGCTAGGCCAAATCTCAAAACAAGGGTCCCGGTGCCATTGACTTTATAGATATAGTAATATGGAGAAGAAAAAATTGTTTCAAGCACCGCCAGAACCGAAAGCGCCCCTTCTTTCAAGAATTTATTGCCTAGTTGTAGCATTAACACTTTCATTTGTGAATCCTTTTAGTTGCTTCTACTTTTTTCATCGAGATTGGGTTGGTGTTCTGTTTACCTCTTGGGCTATTCCATTTCGACAAAAGACCCATACTCAAGTTCACGAGTTCATTACCGTAATATCCAGGGTCCCAAAGTTCTACTGAACAAGAGATCACCTCCGTAATAGCCATGGTCCCGAACTCCGACCCCATACGGGTCCTTCTCCAATACCAAAGGTCCGGGAGTCCAATCCTACATGGGTTTCTCTCCGCAATACCTATGTCCTGGAATCCAACGTATAAGATTTCCTCTCCGCAATATCGAGACAATCACATAAGATAACTTACTCAAGCACTAGGCTCCAGGTGAGAACATTAAAATTTCCCACTTAACAAAACAATTGGCTCATATGTCTATGTATCCAAAGCATTACACTCTAAATTGCATTACCTCAATTGAATGATCAACACACTCAAAGCATGTAATTTTCAAATAAAGACGCAATAAATGGAAATCATGCACAGACCACTAGATACAACATCAAGCAAATGTTGAAGATCTATGTATACCCCACATCAAACACGAGCTCGCTCTAATCAGAAAATTCAAACAAGCACAAAACATATATACCTTGATTAGAAAAGCTATTAAAGTTACAATATGTCGAAAAAGATTGAACTTGCTCTTTTTGACAAGCATATAAACTGCAATTTTCTTCAGGTATCTTTGATCTTGAAACAGGAAATAGTCGATTATTTTTCAACAAAATTTTCATCTCTTATCTGTTCTTTCTAGTTGGTACCGTTAAGCTTCTATAAATTATCAAGAATCATATGACAAATGAATACCAATCATTCCAACACACCTATTTCAGATGCACCAATGAATCTAGTACTTAAATGGGACTGTAGGTTTTGCCATTAATTAAGCAGATGATAAGCAACAAATCTATGGAAACCATTCCTGAAATCATCATTACACAAGAAATGCAACAGAAAACAAAAGGCCAAATTGAACAACATAAGATGAGCTTACTATGCTTACCAGCTAGAGATAGTGCTGTTTCATCTTTCACTGAAAAACTTTGCATATGTCTTCATACTCTATCGCCTGGATAACTCTACCATCATATATACCCTTTTCAATCTGCACCTTTGCACAAAATTTCTCGGTGTTAACAGATAACAATCTAGCATTTGATCCACGATAAGCACCATTCACAATCTTCACAAGTCCACCAATTTGGGGAATAACAGTTTCGAGCTCTTCTTGATCCACCCTCAACTTATGCTTGCTATCAAGCATCTCAATTTCACCAACATACTTATCAATTACCCTACAAACAACACCCTTTTGCTTATAATAACCTTTATCAGCCAAAACTTTGCTCATTACCTTCACAATAATTCCATCACATAACCAATAATCTTTCCGGTTACTCCTCTCTTTTGCCTTCTCTTCCTCTCTTATCAATTCATCCAAGGCCGACCCTCCACTGGTTTTTCCTTTCTTCTCTTTCTCCACCTTATCATGGATGTCTACCTCATCAAAAACGAATCTAGAGCTTCCTTCCCCTTTATCTTTGGCAAAGTTTTTTGTTGAAGAACCGATACTGAGCTTAATCTTTTTCTCACCGCCACTCTCGGATCTTAACAACAACTTAGCTTCTTCATTCTCTAAAATCTTGTCCGCCCCATTTTCCCCTGGCATCAACTGTTCGGCACGCTCAATTTGCTTCCTGATCTCCCTTTCTTGCTTCTCGCCATCCACCATATCGGATTTAATCCTCTTCTTCTTCATCTTTTCCTTGAAAAGGGACTCTGAATCTCTATCTATGTATGTGATAAACCACCCTTTTGGTGTTTCATCGACCTTACACTTTCCTGTTTTCCCCAAATGCTTGACAAATTCGGTTAAAGTAGCCCACTGAGTCGAATTCATATGAACATGATGCCTATCTGCAATGTACTCGTTGTAAACTACTGTGGCTGCAATACGACTAAACCTATGGCTACGCTTCATATGCTCAAGGAACATGGATTCGAATTCTTCGGAGTAACCATCGACTATTCGATGAGGGTTTTGACCAAATACTTCCATTTGGCGTTGGTGGCTCTCACTCATACAATGGCACTTGAACCCGTTCTCATCTCGGCATTGTTTTTGACACATCTGGCAATACCATCGGAGCTTTTGGAGCCCTTTTGCCTTGATTCGATTGGCGATCGCTTTCGGCGTGAGGAATTCGTTCTTACCCATCGAAAATTTGAGATTTTAATAGACACAGCAGCTTCTAGGGTTGTGATTTCAATTTCAAAAACTAAAAAATAGGGAAAAGCGTGATTTGAACGATTAAAGTGCGAGAGAAGAAGAAGCAGAGCTTACTAGGACGTCGAGTGACGGAAGTGAGGTAGCTATACTTTCAGAAATTGAGATCCGATCGGCTGATGGCGGTGGCGATTGGTGGTGGAGAAGAACAAACGAGGGTTTGGACGTGGGGGAAGACTATTTGGGCTAAAGACCGGTTAGAAATTCGAATCATACATATTATATAGCCCACAGCCCATCTTCAAGGCCCATTCTACATTTTATAAGGCCCATTTAAATCAGACAACAAAATGGTTGAGGTAGACATGGTCAAATATTCGATTGGCGTGTTACCAGTTTTTTGGCCATCTCTAGTTATAACTGTTACCGAGTAAGAGGTGAAGCGTAACGATCATCTAAAGTAGTCTCGGTTCAGTTCTAGTCTGTGATATAGTTACCAGTAACGAAGTTCATAAGTAGTCTCTAGGGGTGTTAACGAACGGGGTCAAGTTAGGCATGAGAATAGGGGTGGAGTCCCTAATCTCCATCCACGTCCCATCTCCCATCTTTGGCCCATCTCTGCCCAGTCCTCGCCGAGGAATATGATCACATCCTCATCCATGTCCTCAACGGGGAACGGAGATCCCCAACAGGGAATTGGGGATTTTTTTTCGCCGCTTATGTGAGATATTTTAAATCAAATGTGTTAGTCACCATTCCCGATCTAAAATAGTCCATGTTTAGATATCACATATTTCCATAATTTTGCTTTTATAGAGTATCAAATATTCATATGTTAACAAAATCACAACATCATACTTAATTGTATAATCAAATGTTTTTGGCTCTCCATGTTTTTATCTAAAAAAGTAAAACAAATTAGAAAAAATGTATATAAAAATAAAGGTCAAAATATGATTTCTAAATCTCAAAAGATACTACATCTAATTATTTATAAATAATATATTCAATAATAAGTATACAATATATTTAATTATAAATATATAATATATTTATAAACGAGGACAGACGGGTCAGCGATTACGTTACCCGGCCCCGTCTTCCTCCCCATCCTCGATCCTCAATTTTGTGGGGAACCCCGTCTTCGTTGATGCACATACACCAGGATCCCCAATGGGGAGAGTCTCATTCTCATGCCTACGTCTAGTCGAGTTTCATTTTATTCAAGTTTGGCTCGAAAAAATATTACTAGGTTTAAGGTCGACTCGAGCTTGAATAACCTTTTCATAGTAGGGATCGAGCTAGAGCTCGAATACTTTTTCAATATTTGAGATCGATTAGTTTGCTTATTATCTCGAGATTGAGATAAACGAACCCGAGTAGCTCATTGATGTAACACCAGGATTTTTGTGGGTACAACATTTCAGAATTGACGTTCTTTGTATGAGCTTTTGGAGGTATTTTAGTGAGTAAAATTCATTATGCCTTGAAAATTTTGGTAGAGAAAGGGTTGTACGGAGAGACAACATAAAGTTGGGCCACTTGTCCCGCCACTTAAAGTCATGGGCTAGGTCGCACAACTTTATGTTATGAAATTTTGAGTTTTTTTTGTATGCATGACTATCCCCACGATTTAGGCCACGGAAGGGTAGCAGGAATCCTCTAACGAGTTTTAAACTCCATTTTTGATCCAGGGCATGTCTTTTCTTTACCCACTTTAACTTTCTCACATTTTTAGGCGATTTTTGGGTGTCAATCTCTTCAAATGGAAGGTGCCAATCTCTTCAAATGGAAGGATTTTCAAGATGATTTGTGTGATGGTGGAATTTATTGAAGATTGAGGTTCAACTCTTCCAGATCTCCATTGTTAGAATCAAAGGTTTTACAGGTCCTTCAAACCCCCCTCCTTCTCCTTTCTTCTTGATTTGATCTAGAAACCTTGGAAGCATTTCGTGGTGATCTAAGAGTTGACAAGTTGAAGGTAAGATCTCTCATCTCCAACCAAAACTAGAGTTTACGTATTTTCCATCCTCGTTCCATTTCTCCCTATTTTAGTGTAACATTGGAGTTATTTATGATGTAGGAACCTTATGGAAGTTTCGGAGCTAAGTTTTGAGGGTTCAACTTAGATATATCAAGTTTTCTTTAAAAGGAAGCTCAAAATTTGGGTTAAAAAACCCCTAAATTTAGCATAAATCTAGGAAGGTGAGTTTAAGTTTATTTGTGAAAACTTTATACATGCCAAAAAAATGCCCATTTTGGAGTCTCGAAGGTGCTTTCTTGATATTTATAAAATATATTGATTATTTGATGAGATTTGCATATTTGGTATATTTGGTTTATAAATCTTGTGAAATGCTCATATTTGAGGCTTTTGGATTTTTTGATAAATAAATCATTAGTGTAGAGATTTTGATGATCTATTCCTCCTTGGGAGAACTGTTTGGTGTCAATACACTTTTGGTACTTTGATTTTATAAATCATTCAAAAAACATATATGATTGAGTTGTTGTGCACATTTTGGGTGTCATTGCTTGTTTGAAAGTGCTTCTTTTGAAGTTATGGCATGATTTGCGATTTTGCCTAACTTTTGAACCAATAATAAGAATATGCACACATTTTGAGGCGTAATTCGTATAAACATTGATTATTTGTATTTTATTATTGAATAGTCAATTAAGTTGTTGAGTTATTGGTTTGGTTTTCACTTAGATGAATCTTGATGACATTTGTCCGGTTTAATTTGCTTTATATCGAACTTTTGGAATTATGCTTAGTTATGACATATATAATTGAAATTTTACATGTTTTGAGTGCGTTGGTCATTCATTTGGGGTCATATAACTATATTGTAATGCAATGGATCCTTAGGCATAGGAGTAGGTTTGTTGGTTGGAAAATGTGATCATTATCCTTGTTTTGTAGCTTATTCTTAAACGAGCGATAAGCCTGAGTGGTTGAGCTTGGTATATATATAAGCGATATACCTGGAGTGGCTGAGTTTGGTTGTGCCGGTATAACGGAGAGGGGCCCGTGTGGGTCGGACTCCGACACCACAGGTATTGCGTAGATAGGCTCATGTAGAGTCAAACTCTGGGACCTATGAATTATTGATATTTTATTGTTTTAAGTGAGGATTATTTATTTTCTCATTATAATTTCTAGTGAGTGGTCACCAAGTACCCTATTGGGTTGTATACAGAGCTAGTGGCCTGTGGTGGTACTTTATTGAGTCATATAAGGGGCTAGGTCTTGTAGTGGTGCTCATCAATTATTATTATTCATTTTTGTTATGTTTTTTTTTTTTTTTGTATTTTATTTAATTCATTTTTTTATTATAATTTAGATTTAATAATGAAATTATTTATTTTGATTTAATAATATAATTTTTTATAAATATAATAATTCCCCGCAGGGGCAGAGAACCCGTCGCTGTCTCGGCTGTGCTACAGGCCTTAAGAACGCTGGTTTTAAGAATGAGTGATTGCCCTTCTCCRACCCTTACTACCCAACCTGACAGCGGATAGCTAATGCGTTCCGAGCCGTGAAAAAGATTCAACAAAAGACAGAAACAAATCCACTATCTGTTTGTATTTTGTTATAATTTAATAATTATCCTAAATATATTTTAAATTTTTTATAATTTAAAAATGAGATACCTATTTAGTATTTGATTAAGTTTATTTGTAGTTACTTGCACAAATTCATGCATGGAGCTTTAATAAGTTGTATATACGTACAATTTTGAATTTTAAGTAATGTGCATCAATAAACAGTACTTGATGCATAGAAAAATGATTTGTAAAAGTTTTTGTCATATACTTTATGATATAATATAAAAAGTATAGATATAATTGTGTATGTAAATATAATGAAGATTTAAAATAAGAAATAAAAAAATAAATGGCATAAAACAAATTAACTAAATAATTACAAGGATGTAAAATATTGTTAAAAAAAAAGTGAATAATTGAATATAGACCGTAGAGGAGGTATAAATAGCAATCTTTTGGCAAAATTATATGAAATTTGGTCGAAATAAATTTATAAAGCAGCTGGTCCCGTAGCTCAGTTGGTTAGAGCGTTGGTCTTATGAGCCGAAGGTCGCGGGTTCGAGCCCCGCCGGGACCAATTAAATTAATTTATTATCAATTTTTTCAAAAAATCCAATCAAACCATAAATCTCATTCCAATTTTGTTTTATTGTATTTTATTTTACCACACAACATGAGATTATACTTTAAAAGCTTTGTTTGAGTACATAAACATAAATCTCCCGTAATCAAAACACATTCTTAGCAAGAGAAATGCTATATAACACACACTAATCAAATCAGCAATCTATTTCTTCTTGCTCCATTTGATTAAATCAGAGACATTTTCGCTTCGTTCTCCTCGTCGTTGAACGGATGATCTTCTTTATCGACCTTTCCCGTCACCCGCGATTCGTTTTTCCAATCACCCAACAAAGGATTCGATTCCCCTATCAGAATCGACTCATCCATTTCCTTTGGAACATGAGCACGATCCTCTTTAGGAGCCATATTTTCTTTCGAACTCCATTGACTTCCCAACGTGTTGACTGTTAAATTCTCACCAAATCCATCGGAAGAGCCCGAATTTTGGGCAGGTTTCTTGATGGGGTTTCTTGATTCCGAATTCTCGTGCTGAATCATGGGTGAGATCTGGTTTTCTTCAAGAAATCCATCCTCAATGAATTGGGAATTCGACCTTTTGTATTTATCCAAAAAAGATGGTTGAAGAACACCATGATCTGAAGAAACCTTGTGGTTAAAGCTCCCAAACCCTTCAATTCCTCTGCTTAATTTCCTTGCTCTTGATCTCTCTTCTTTTAGGGCACTCGATTCATTAAGAAATTTCAAGATTCTTTCTGATTTCATTCTTACATTAAGCCCCCAATTGAATCTGATAAGCAAATTGGATTAAAAATCAAATCTTTACAGTAAAATTGAAAAGCCCAGATCAGAAAGAAGCTGAATTGATGATAAAAAACTAGATTTTTGTTCAAAAAAAGGGTACCCTTTTTCATCAATGTATTGGAAATTGGTCATCTGTTGCATAACATCTTTGTGAGTCCGAAATTCTTCTGCAACACTTTCTGGGCCATGTGTCAACAAGTGTTCTAATACCACCACAGCTTTATACGATATCCTCCAGTTTTTGGCATCAAATCTCACCAATCTGACGTTTGACTCAAACAGTCAACACTCAAGAACACAAAAGAAAATTCAAGAAGAAAAAAAGCTCAAAGAACCTGTTATGAAGAACATTAACTATTCTCCAGTAATCATCAATTTCAAAAGCAGCTTTTGATATCATCTTCAAGGTGCGTGCATCTGGCGCCCATGGATTCCCGTTTGTTGATTCTTCAACCAATCTTCAAAGAACCCATAAGAAACGTCAAAGATTTACAAAACAATGGAAACCCAGTTTGAAATCGAAATCGTAATCGGAAATGAAACTGAAGTTGAAATCAAAATCGAAATCGAAATCGAAATGAAGAAGAGTGAAGATGGGTACAGTTGTGCAGGGGTGACATCGGTCAAAGCCAATCGAGCAGTCTTGATCTTTTCCTTGAGGAAGAAGGAAGCATGTCTTCTGAATTCATGGAAAGATGAAGATGAACCCAGATTTTCATTGTTTCCTAAAATCGACATCTTCTCATGGAAGAAAATCTTGAAATCTTGGAAGAAATTTGATGGGAGTGGGTCAAAATCTTGGAATTGTGTAAGAAATTTCAAATTCAAAATGGCGTCACCGATGAATAAATTAATCCATTTCAGTCCAGAAAAGTGACACATCGTTATTTTGACTCATTATTCATAGAAAAGAGTGGAGTTCATTTTTGGTCCCTAACCTTTGTCATTTTTAACGGTTTTTGTTCTTAACTTTGTTTTCTTGGATTTGGTCTTATGGTTGTCATTTTCCAACGGTTTTGATCGCTCTCTTTAACGGCCGTTACTTTTTTCGTTAAGTCCAATTTGGTGTGCGTATGCAGGGTATAGTGTTTAGAGACGGGGAATTGGCCGGAGAAGATGCCTACAAGAAAAAGTTAATGGTCGTTAGAGGGAGGGACGAAAATTGTTGCAAAATGACAAACATGAGGACTAAATCTGAGAAAACGAAATTAAGGGACGAAACCTGTTAAAAATAAAAAATGTTGAGGACTAAAAGTGAAGTTTACTTTAAATATATTTGATCATTCTACAAAAATAAAACAATTTGCAGTTAAAAATGGTTTAGAAAAATGTTAACATTTGTTCATATGTCACAAAATAAATAGATTGGAGGCATGAGTAATGGATTAAAATAAGTAAAATTATTGGTTATAAAAATTGAGGTGGGTGATTTTGTTATATAAATTTTTGATATATTAAATATGATTATAAAACAATTTAAGAAATTATAAGCACTATAATACAATTTTAATGGTTGTTAAGTAAGGTTGTAGACGAACCGAATGAACATGAATGGAGACTTGTTCATGTTTGTTCATTTAACTTAACCGAACAAACGAATGGAAACGAACGAAAATCTTTGTGTTCGTGTTCGTTCGTTTAGAAATCAGGTGTGTCCGTGTTCGTTTATGTTCGTTCGTTAACATGCTAAACGAACGTAGACGAACGAATATAAATAAATAGTATTTGAATTCAAAATAAATAAACAAAAGATTATATATTAAATTTAATATATAAACGAACATAAACGAATGATAAATGAACGAACGAGACTTTTGTTCATGTTCGTTCGTTTAACTAAACGAACAAAAAAAATTATCCGTTCATTTATTAAATAAACAAACTTCCCACCGAACGGTTCTCTAAAATTTCGGTTCGTTCACGGCCCTAATATTAAGTGGTTGGATCTATTTATTAAAAGAAAGTAGTTGGATCTATAAAATAATATAAACTCCCTTTATTAATACACTTATCTTGATAAATACTTATTGATTCAATTATCTTACCGACTAATATAACATGGACCGAGAATCTTACCCAGTAAGAAAGAAGACAATGATCAAAAGTTTTACCTGGTAAGTAATCGAGGATGATGCCTGATAACCGCTTCTGTAGTTATAAATATTTATCATCAATCCATTTTGATGTTACCACATAAGATAAATGAGAGTTGTGACTCTTGTCAGTAAACAACCCTTTACTGTTTCTTGTATAGTATAAATCAAATAAAACAGTTTGAGGTGAACTAAGGGGCCGTTTACTAAACACTTACTTGGTATACTTACCGGATAAATTTCCTCATCGGATGAACATGAGAAAGGTCAAGAATCTTACCGGGTAAGAACGATGAGAATAATGGAGAGTTTTACCCGGTAAGTAATGATGACGACTCTTACCCAGGTAAATGCTTACCCACTAAATTGTTGTATTCAACATATTTTAATATACTAAAATCTTACGCATCAAAATAAATCATAGTGTTGACTTTTATCGATAAACGGTACCTAAGTTAAAATTCTCAAATTTATGAATCAAAATTATTGTGACATTAATTATTTGTTGAATAAACACATTTTATATCGGAAAAAAAAGAGGGAAAGACTTTAAGCCATTTGACTAATTTGTCATGTGTTTTCATTTGCAATAGCATTAATTGGAGCTTTTTGCACGACAAGAAGACACGTCGTGGAGATTTCCATCACATACGACTTATATTTGGTATCTTAATATGTATTAATAGATTCAACATAGCGGGGTTATGTACACAAAACAAACCGTTTTAAAACGGAGTTCAACTAATACAGATAAAAAAATGATTGTTTTTCTTGTATCAGATAAATAATGCATATCGTCTTTAATTCAATACATATCGATAAAGATAATAATCATTTGGTTTTAGCTTTTGGATTATAGGCTTGAACTAGAAATAAACGCACTTCGGACTTTTCAAGTTTGATGGTATTGTTTTATATGATATGCATAGTTAAGCCTTTACAACTGTTATTTTATTGAAGTTGTCTTAAGTTTTAAATTTTATGATTACAAAGACGTTATTAGAGATAAAATAACATTTGTAATATTATCAATCATTTAAATCAATATATTCACAAATAGGACAATAAATTAAATGTTCTTTGTACACGTTTAATTGATATTGATACAGGGTAGTCCACGTAGTTGCATGTAAAATCTCTAATGTTTCTATTGTGACGTAATTGTGGACATTGGGTTTTCTCATGTTAATACCACTCTTACATAATGGTTATTGTTAACATTCTGATTGCAAACCACAAGGGTGATGCCTGATTGGTTTGAGCTTGGCTCCAAATGACAAAAATATCAGGAGGTCCCAGGTTCAAATCCAAGGAGAAATAAATATCCCCTTGTGGCCACGGAGGTTCAAATGCGGTGACTTCGGGCTATCTGCAAAGCGGGTGGTCGCCCTCGGATTAGTCGGTTCGTATAATGGGTTGGATATCCAGGTTAATAAAAAAAATATTCTGATTGCAATAGTCACATGTTGAGGGGACGACAATGGTTGTATCCATACCTATAAGTACTTTACACAATATTTGCATACAAAGTACATCTAGTATCATGTTGTGCCTTGAAAAAATAAAGAAATAAAATGAAAGTATTAAAATTAATTTGTAAAACAATTACGTATTTATGATATTTAATAATATGATTATGTACCACCCATATTTTCGATGCAACCATTATAATATAAATGCAGGGAAACAATCGGTGAATGACCAAAGAAACGGCGGGGGAATGGCCGAGGAAATGGTTGGAGAACGGCCCGGGCGGCATGTCCTATGGGAGTTGTCTTTTGGGGGCTCAACCACAGGGCGACCTTGCCATTACCCTAGGGTCGCGGACAAGGGTCGCATAATCCATCTGATGCTTAAAATCCGATTTTGCGAGGGTATTTTCATTTGATCATAACTTTCTCATTTTTTTCATCCAATTGAGGCAATTTTGAAGGCTGCGGTTTCGTATTTTGAAGCCCTTCAAGAGCAGATGGAGAGTTTTAGTGTTTCTTGGTTGTTCAAAAGTGTTTCGGAAAGGTAACCTTGTCATCTCCACACTCCCAAAAACTATGGTTTATATGTTTTTCATGCGCTTTCAATATGTTCCCATTTTGGTCCAACTTTAAGAGTATCTTTAGTAGAAGGAACCTTGTGGAAGCTTTGGATCTAGGATTTGGAAGGCTCGCTAGGAGATCTCAAGTCTTTATCAAATGAAGCTCAAGATTGGGATAAAAATCTAAATTTACCATAAATCTAGCAAGGTGGGTTCAAGTTGTTTTGTGAAAACCATGTACATGCCAAAAATGTTATTTTTGGAGTCTTAACGATGTTTTCTTGACATTTTTCAGTTGTGTTGATTATTTGATGAAATTTGCATCTTAGGTATATTTTATTTTAAAAGTCATGTAAAATACCTCTATTTAAGTTTTTGGACATTTTGATAAATAAATCATAAGTATGGAATCTTTTAATATTTTGTCCTATAAATGAAGACTATTTGGTGATAATGTATTTTTAGAATATTTGGTTTGAAAAATGCATATTGTTAAGTTATGAGACATTTTGGAAATATAATTGATATGATTTCAATTGGAAAATGGTCTGTCCTAGCAAGTGGTGGATTTTTGAGTTAATCATGTCGTTAGAGCATGTGTTTGCATAAATGTTGGTTAAATACATTTTTATTACTTATGATGACTTTAATCGTCAATTGAGTTGTCGATCTTTTAGCTTAGTTTCAATTCAGATGAGTCTTAGGGACATTGTCTGGTTTATTTACTCTTCGAGCTTTTGGAAGTTATATGCAGTTATAGCATATTTATTTGAAATGTTACATAAATTGAGTGTGTGGTTGTTCATTTGAAGTCATGTAATTTAGACTTTACTGCAATGGATCCATAGTAGAGCTGATCATTTGCAGTCTTGGGTCGGAACCAGGCTGGGCCTAACCTATTTTTTTGTCCAATGGACCTAATATGGTGAACTCCCGAGCTCGTTTTTACGGGCTTGAAAACTTACTCATACCGTCCTATAAACGAGTCGGGCTTGCCACGAGCTAACGGGCTATAAAAATCTTTTTTATATTTTTGTGAAAACAAAACTTATATAAATTCACAAGTTATGTGAAATAATTCAAAATACATAAAAAAATTCCAACTTAAAATTTGACGTAAATACATAACAACACTACAACAGTATACATACTTTAGAAAGAAATTGTTTCACAAATATGGAGTATCGATAAAGAAAACGACTAAATGAGATAATAAGGAATTGATCAATTTGAGGTAATTATATTTTCAAATTTTAGATTTTTAAAAAATGTTATTACCATGAGTCATAATTATGTACGAATTAATAAATATCAAGAATTTCAATTTTATTTGTAAATTTTAATTATAAAAGTTAATTATTACAAAAATATTAATGGGTAGGGCGGGCCTCCCCAAATATTTTTTTCCAGTGCACATATCCGCCCATTAATTTTAGCAAGCTAGTCTGACCCCACCCATTTCTTCGAGAATGGTAATCTAAGTCCGCTTTTTCTAATGGACCGGAAAGAACGGGTCTAGCGGGTCGTCCCGCACGTGAACAACTCTAATGCATAGGCATAGGAGTCAGGTTTTATTTGGTTTAAAATGAGATGGTTATTCCCGTGTTGTGGCTAGAAATAGGTATTGGGTCATCAAGGGCATCATGGTGCGTACTCTTGAAGTCGAACATCTGTCATTGACCATATGATATAATTTCTGAGTCGATTTTAATGGGACGATTATTCCTATAT